TGCCCTAGTTTTTGTAGGATTTCTTGGGGGGGGGGGTCCTTTCAGAGGTGATGTCACATTGATACAGAGACTCAGATTTTATGGCTGGCAGCCACCTTTCTGGATAAAATGCCACGAGAGTGTCCCAACTTACCTCTTCCAAACAAAGGTGACTGCTAAAGGAGCTTCACTCTACAAAGCTGAAACACATACAATACAGAAGATCAGTGACTGCAGTTGTGAAATGGCTGTTACTTCCCCACCTGAAGGTTATCAGCTCTGACAGCGTTTGCTGATGTCCGATGAACCATAAGCCTTATTCTGAGAGTACTTATCAGTTCCCTTACTTATCTGCCAAGGCAATTCCTGAGCAGTTTGTGAAGAAGAAATAAGACAGTAGCACTGAGGAGGACATATGAAACTTTAGAGCAATAAAAAGAAGTATTAGAGAATGCTAACTCATCAGAATAGGCCATGAAAAAGCCCATAAAATAGATGAAACAATATGAGGGGTATCATAATGGAAATAACTACCGTATCATCCATCTATCAGTTATGTATCAGTCTATCAGTTATGTACCTTTGACTGGTTCCCAGACCTGCTCAATTTGAAAGCAATCTCTTGACATTTGCACAGTTACAGCACCTCCCCAAAGATCTCAGAGCAGTTTGCCAACATTAATAGCCTTACAAGAGGACTGCGAGGAAGGCCTGTGGCATTACCTCATTTTACAGATGAGTAAACAGAAGCACAGAGGGGCAAGCAACTTTCCTAAAATCACAGCAGGTCAGCATCAATGCCAAGAACACAGCCCTCCCGTGCTGCCACTCAGCTCAACCCACTCATTCTGGCTCTAAAAATTACATGGTAATGTCTCCTGATTCAGTGGAGTCCTGGTAAGTATCTCCAGTGCTAAATGCTGTCTTTGATTATGAATCAGACACCTCCTTTCTCAGTTTTACTAGCTGGTTATATGTGATAAAAGAGAAGGAGGAGGTGCTGCTGAGCAGAATAACACAGTTGCTCATGTTTTGCAAACAAGCCTGCAAAAAATATTCTTTAGTAGTCGGTGTGTGCTGTTCTTACCTTCATGCCAGCATTTAGAGGCCATTTGAGGAGGCAGGAGAAAATGTTTTAGGAAATCAAGCACTCAACTCCAAAAGAAAGGCATTGTTCTTCTTCTATCCCTGCTATTGAATGGGCCAGGGAAGAAGCAGTACGGACCTGAAACCGAGGCCTAGAGACAGACATTACACATAAACCCGCTTAAGTGATCAGAAATTGGTTTAAACCTGTAACAGAACAGATGTTCAGTGAACATAAACCCATTTGAAAATGGCTGAAACTGGTTTGAGATAAACCTGGTTGCATGTAGTATCAGACTTAGACTGATTTGGGTCACACCAGTTTATGCAATGTCTATCCCAGACCCCTTCCTGGTTTAAGTTAAACCAGACTCCCCCAGCATCCCAGCATGCTCTCTGGGCTGGGTAAGGCACTCTGCTCCACAGCAGGGCTGGCCCTCGCCTCTGCTCCCTGGCTGGAGCTCCAGCAGAGACTGCATGCATTTGCCTGGCTTCTCCCTGCTCCCTGCCTCTCTTCCCCTTCCCCTCTGCCTTACGCAGACACCTCTCAGCATTAGCTAGCAGACCACATGCTGGCTACGGCTTGGCAGAACAAAGGCTGCACAGGCAGCACAGAACTCTGTGCTGTGGCAGGCAGAACAAAGGCAAAATCAACAGGTAGCTGGTAATGTCCCTCGGTTGTTTTCTCACTGAGTTAGGGGTGATAAACACTGTGTTATCAATTCCTGCTAGCCTGGTCAGGAGTGGGGAAACCCCTCCCTAATCAGAGCATCCTGTCGGGGCCTGGCCACACCCCCCCACCCTGGTTCACCTCAGGACTGTGGAAGGGAAGGGAGGCCTGCTGTCGCACCCCCCGCCCTACCCCGGATTCTAGCCTGAGCCGCTGCAGGCATGTGCCTGCATTTTTTCAGTCTAGAGGGGGTGTCTGTGCAGTTACACACTGATTCAGCCTAGCCAGGTTAGACTAACCTGTAAAGATTGAATCAATTCAGGCTCAGGCTTTCTGAATGTCTGTCTCTAGCCTATCAGTACTTGGTACTGAATTAGAATACTGATTACCCTGCACTTGCACAGTGTTCTCTCCCTGAGTGGCCAAACCTTTTTCATTGATTAATAATTCAGACGGAAACCTGAATTGGTCCCCGTTCTTCTCGCAGCAAAGCCAGGGTAGTTACACCAATGGAAGATGTGCAGTTTGGAGGAGAATCAGACCCTGTATTTCTCTGGGGTGTAAAAATAGTAGGCATATGGCTATATGGCTCTGCAGAAGATGTTTGCATCCCCTAGAAATATTGTGTCAGTTTTCACTTTGAACTGCAATATGAATCAAAACTTTATTCTCTCCCTTGTCAAGCGTTTCTTTTCTGCTGTAGCTTGTAGACAGTTTTAAAAGTGACTGTATATTCTCTCCTGTTATTCATGTAGCAGTGCTCCTCTAACATTCAGAATGTATTTACTGAAAGCAGCGCTTGAATTAGTGATGTGTCGCCAGCACTGAATGTCGAGGCGTCACAACCACCAAAAATAAATTAATAACCAAACTGTCCATAACATGCTAATGAACACAGGGTGAGATCCCATCTGGCTTGCCTAGCTCAGCCTCTCCTGCACAACATGGGAGCAGACCTTTGCTGGTCCAGAGGACACTCAAAAAATTTATCTTGCAACTGCTCAGCCCGTTTTATCTTTAGCAATGATCAGAGCAGTAACAACAAAGAATAAGAATGATATTTGTGTAAGATTATTTACCTAACAAGGCCCAGAAGAAAGGCCATAAGAAGAAGAAATAGAAGAATAAAGGCAATAAGAAGAAATATACAGGAAGGATGATAGCACAATCTAATTTTGACGTATTGGTCTTTTAATATTAAAGAATTGGTTCTACGCTAGAGTTGTTTCAAAATTTCCTATCAGAATGATTTTCAAACTAATTAAATTTTCTTCTTCGTGAATGTCACTTTTTTTGCTGATTTTTCTTTTTATTAGGAAAATTAAAGCAAAGCATTTTCTTTGAGTTGATTCAGCATCACCTCTGCACACATCACACTCCATTCTGCCTATGGGCTTGGCCGGCTGACTTGAGAATCCTTGTCCCTAAATCACTGCAGTCCTGGAACTCCCATAATGCACTACAGTGGTTCAACCAGAGTGAGAAACCCTGGTGTATTGTGGGAAATGTAGTCCAACAGAAAGACTCACCCAGGCCGAATGGAAGCATAAGGGCCTTTTAACTATAGTTCCCACAGATACTGCAATAGCTCAGGCACCTGTAGAGATTGGACTCAGACGAAACTTTTCACTAGAAAGTACTGAAATATTGTTAGCAAAGTTGTAGGTTAGACAGTTAAGTTGTAGAATGTGGTTATATAAAATAAAATATTTTGAATGAAATTAGGTCATCATGATTGTGATCTTTCGGGGAAAGTAGTTCTGAAAAAAAAAGCCTACCGAACTCCAGTGGAAAATATATACATCAGTCAATAAATAAACAAGCTTAATAAGTTGCCTGTTGTAAATCTGAGGCCAAACCAGGAAGGTTTTTTAGCTTAACCAAAAAAGGGAAAAACAAAAAGCAAATCATGTGGTCATGTGGTGGGAGAAACCTCCCTAAGGTTCGTTGTCTAGCTGTAATTTGATTGACAGACAACGCGGGTAAAGAAAGACAGCTGTTTATTTGCTCGAGCAAAGACCATAAAGCCAGCAAAAGGCAAAATGCCGCCCCCAGGGTGAGGCGATCTTTTATACTTATTACAACAAGGCAAGACTTCATGGTTAACAAAAAAAAGCAATACTTGGGCGGTGCTGTTTAAATCTTTGTAACAGCATATTTTTATTAAGCTGAATTAGCATTTTTTAAAGCTAAAAGTTAAGTAACAGTAACATTATAATATGTTAGCAAAACCTTACACAGTAGTAGATACTTTTCAAGGACACAACCAGTGCACCCAGAACAATGGTTTCCCTGTCTTATCTTATTTTTTGCTGTAGCTGATTTTTTAGCACACAGACACAGAGATACTTGCTGCTTTTAACTCAGAAAATGCTTAATACAGTTAAAATGATTATTTGACACAAGCAAAGGCTTAGCTATCAATCTGCCTTGTGGTCAGCTGCATTGCTAGGCCACAGGTCATGCCTTGTATTCAGCTGTAAAGCTAATACTTCCTAATAATCTAAATTATTGTAAACCTAACAGTATGCTTATCAGAAAACTGTTCTATTTCAGGGTAATAACAAACCTGCGCACTACAGTCAGGCATTTCAAAAAAATGTCATTACAAATACAGCTAGGACAGAGAGAGAAGCTCAAGGGACGCGAGACTGACTCAAATGCTGGCTGGGTATTAAATATTAATTGTGTTCATCAAAAGGGGGAACTACAAAACTTGCTAAACTAGGGATTGTCTGAAATGACTGATGGCATAAAGAAGTTAAACATCCTCCAGCAAACCAAACCATGTAGTAGAAAAGGGCAATTCTGTTTCCTCATAGGGTTTGTTTATTATGATTGCTATTGAGATGTTTAAAAATATATTTTAGCGTATTTCTCAGAGTATTATACTCCGAATATAATTTCGGAGTATTATTCTTCCTTAAAGTTAGTCTCTGGATTGAGCAAAAAGCTTTGAGACCTAATTCCCTATCGCAGGTGTTTTTAGCTATTAATAGATTTCTAATATGTTGCTAGTAGCAAAATTGCGTGTGCACACGTGTGTGTGCAGGCATGATGAAGTGTGCAAACCCTATACCAGCCACAAAAGGGTTAAAGAGTAGGTATGGGTTTAAATTATACCTACTCTGCTACAGTTAAGGTGGTTCAAGACTAGCCCCATATTGCTGTGTGTCCATGATGTTGCAGGACTGGAGTTCAAATCCCTCCTGGTCTGTTTTCCATTTTTTCCCCTTTGGTTACAGAGATGGTAACCCAAGTTTCCCCACTGGCGTGTCAGAAGAGGACGCACGGGTAGAAAGCTACACCTCTGGAGGAATATTCTTTTTCCAGTGTGTGTAATCTCTTTGCTTTTTTTAAAAAAAAAAAAAAGCATTGGCCTTGTGCCATTATTATGGTTGCCTGGAAGTAACATTAGGATGCTTTTCAGATATTTGGATTCATTTTTTTTAGACCAACGGTACCTTTCAGCCCACATGTCAGCAGAGTGAGTTGAAAGCTAATTTACAATAATGGATTTTATGAATCAAGCCTGCGCACTTCTTGGATGAAATGCAGGAGGTCTCTTTAACAGCACCCCGTAACAAGTCACTGAAGTTGAAGACGTGAAAGGAACATTATAACCAATTGAAAAAGGAAGCAAGCAAGGTCTAAGTAACCAAGCTGAGGACTTGATCAGTACCCCGGCATTAGCACTTCCTGCAACTTTCTCAAGCAATTCATGCAAATACCGTGCAACTTTCTATGACCCAGGACCTCTTCTGTCCCACCTCCAGAAGCACAGTGCTCTCCATGCTTTGCTCCTGCACTGACTCAAAGGTAAGAGTGCCACCTGCTGAAAGTCAACACACGAGTTCCTTAAGTCACCCACATAAATACTAGCCAAGCTGACAGTTTTGTCTGCAAGATCTGTTAAGATAATGTAGTTACCCTGCATGCCATCTGTCTGTTCAACCCAGTGTACGGTTTTTCCTAAGCTTTTTACAATTGTTCAAAGACTCTTCCCTTACTTGCATGTTATTAGAGATAAACAGATAAGCAGGGTGGTACAGCTTATTTTCTTACACAAGTATTAAAAGAGACAATGGCAAACAGGAAAGATAAGAGACAACTGCAGAGCTGGGACAGCATAAGCTGTGAGTGACACTGTATATAGCGATCATATAGCTGCTGAGACGGATGCAATGCTATTGTGGCAGGTTAAATACATAAGTGATCCAGATAAAATCAAAATTACTTGCTTCTATTCGTACAGAAAAAAATATATATTCTGTAGAACTTTTCTTGAGATTCATTTGACAAACATTGCATCCAACACAGACACGCACAAAAAAAACCCCCAACAGCAAGCATCCTCTATTGATTCTTCTTGGTGCTGCTAAAGTCCCTACCTTTAAATGTTCCTAATGCACTAATGTATGGATTATTGTTCACAGTGTCTGCTGGTGATTTCGACTGTATTAAATGTTTGCTCTGATAGATTGGGCAACAAGAACGGCAAGAGTCCAACCACGCTTAAGTGCTATGCTTCAAGGAAAAATGGTGTCCTGTTAACTAAATCCAAATCAAGACTAAGCACTACTTCAGGCTTATTACCATCCAAATGAAGAGAGACCAGTTTTAAAAAAATGCTGATTTACAGCTGGTGACCTTGAGCTGAACGTATTGTATAATCAGATCCAATTGGATATGGATTTGGCTCGATTGAACCAAATTAAGGATTGGCATGAACTCTCAAGAAGAAATTACAGCTAACAAAACATTGCAAGATAAGCTGTGTTTGCCATGCTTACAGCCCTCATTCCCCATCAAATCTGAAAATTGATGGTAGAGATACAATACCTTATTGTCCATGGGTGGTTAAAGAATTCCAATTGAAGGGAGCTGGGGATTTTCTTGCCTGCCAGATGAAATGTGGAAAGCATGATTTATCTGAGATGTCAGGAACGACATTGCCTTTCATTAACCCTAAGTAACAATGTACGGTTCTGTTCCAATGCTGTAGGTACAGGCACTGTAAGCTGCTGCATGTACAAAAGGAAATAAAATTAAAATAGTGTGTTGAAAACTCTGTAAAACCTTGCTGAGAGAAACCTCTTAAGAAGTATATGACAAAAGTTTGGGTCCTATTTGGAAAAAAAAACCAGGAGACCCTGTTTAATCTACACTCTAATAACCCACAGCATAATAACTGAGTCAGATCCCCAGCTGGGGTAAATTCATGTAGCATAAGGGGCTGGCCTGGTTCAGTTCTGTGCTGAATGTGACTTTGGGCAAGTGACTTAAGACTAGATTCAATAAGGGCCTGAAGTGGCTGATCCCTGGAGCAAGATCCAGAACGCTGCATGAGGCAATCTACTCCCTATTACAAATTAAAGAAGTAAAAGATGTAGTTTTGAATCCTTTCAGGAAGAAAGAAACTGAGTCTGTGTGTAGATGAAATGAGGGGCATGTGTGCATGACACTTTAAAGTGAGTTAAATGCTTTTGCACCGCTCTAATGGTGTTGGTGTTTGCATGCATCAACGACGTATTGTGCAGTGATTCCAGCCGCTGTAGCAAATTCAGCAGTATAGGGCACCTTAAATGACTTGGGGCGCAGAGTTTGCTGCCCTAGAGCCGCGGAGCGGACACCAGGCTCCATGCAGCTCAGGGGCTCTGCAGGAAGCCTGCGCAGGCAGCCTGGCAGCAGCCTGGGAAGGCAGGCTCAGACCAAGAAAAAAAAGGGGTGAGACTGATCTCCCTCCAACCCCGAGTCTGCCTGCCTGTCTGTGTTGCACGGGGGCCCAGCGCTTCCCTCTGAGGCTGCGGTGCCCACCGAGACTGCCCAAGCTGGGTGCCTGTGGGTGGGTGCCTCCTGGGGATGGGGCTGCAGAGGGACCAGCCCCTGCCCCACCTCCTCCCACAGCCCAGGGACCGCTCCGCCCGCCGGCAGCTTGCCCTCCCCTCCCTGCTGCTGGAGAAACAGGTAAATTCAGGTGTGTGCACAACCCTAAAGGACCCTAAATTGTTAAAGGGTTCAAAGGAACCTAAATTGAAGCAGTGTTTTTAAAAACCTACCACTTCAATTTAGGGCCTCTGTCTTGTCTATACATGCCCTGAATCAGGATCTCCCATTTCCTGACTCCCAGTCCAGTTTCTTAAGCACAAAAGTTGTCTTTCTTGGGCGGAGGGGGGGGGCTTTTTAAGAACCACATGTAATAATTTCCTGGGAGAGTGTTTTAGCCACAAGCATACTGTATGAAGTAAGGGGGGGTAGCACCTGTCCTTCTGGCCATGTTTTACAAGAAAAGACTGTTTGGTCATTGAGCTCTGTTTGCAGTCTGATCCTTTAGACCTGTGAGCTGAGAGTGCTTGTTGAATTAAGACAGACAGAGAGATCCCAGATTTTTTATCCCAGTTAGTTGTGGGAAAGGGAGAGATGCTAAAGGTAGGTATTCAAAGAGACAGAGGTGCAATCAATCTGCGTTGCATGGTTTTCTCTAAAAGTGGCTTAGTTTGACTGGTAGTGAGCAGAACACACATTTGGTCTTTGGTGAGAGCGGGAGCAAACCTTAGACTGGGTTTTGCCACTTTTAAATCAGTCTGTGTGCGCCAAATTTCTGTTCTGTTAACAGGAGAAATACACTGAAGATTGAGGTGCTTTGCTCCTGTGAGACAGGGAGCCATACAAGCAACTATGATATATAAGTGCTCCTGTTTATAATAGCTGAGAATTTGGACCATCGTGTATCATATCCAAACTGTACCCAATATATTGCAAAAGTAGGAAGGTTTTTGGAATTTGCAGCCTGCTATCTGATCCACACAGGTCGACTTCTGCAGAGCCCTAGTGACCTCAGTGGTCCATATTTTAAAATTTAAAATTTAAAATTCGTCCATATTTTAGAGAATGAATTTGTGTAGTTATGGTGGGCGTTAGGTCAGTGATAAATGGGTGGTGAGAGTTTAACGGAGAAGTCTTGAGCTGAAATGAGCGGCAGACTAGATCATGGGCCTAGTTTCATTTTCAGGGAACGTGAGAAAAAATGTCAGACAAAATTAAAGCAAATAAGAAGTTTGTGGTCTCCGTGGAAAGAGAAGTAAGCAAAAGTATGATAAGAGTGCATGTACAAAATATCTCATGGAAGCTGCTGATACAGTTCCTGTGCTTTCCACTTGTGGAATAATGCTCGGTAAAACGATCTTTAACTGAGAGCTTAAAGTCATTTGCTCTCTCTCATTCCTGATGTTGAAATCATTTTTTTCCAATCTGCTTTTCTTCCGCACTTAGGGTCTGACCAAGGGCAGGAACTGATATTCACTTTGGCTACTCAAATGTCTGCTGACACAAAATTTCACTTTGAGAAAAATGTGACAATTTACAGTTGAGTTACTTATTGTCAGATCTCAAAATTGTCTCTAAGTAGGCCTGCCAAAAGACAAGTGATTTATCAAGTGTCAGCTGTGGCGAAGCATTTTGCTGAGTCGTGAAAAATATGTAGCAAAACACTGATAACTCCTTGCACTAGAAATTGCATGGCTTTGCATAGAATGAATCCAATACTTTTATGTTCTACCTTAAAAACTGTGGATTGGCTCTCGTCATTTTAAAATTGGGCTTGGTAGAAGATGAGCAGGAAAGGCAGAAATCTTCACTGCTCTGCAGCGGGGTAGGTGCTTTTTAACCTGTGTTTCTGCCATAGAAGTGTTCTGCCACGATCAAGGATACATTTGGTTAGGCACTCTACATACTAGTAATAAATAGCTGCTCTTCAGGGCATGAACTTTGAACCAGACAAAACACAAATGAAATCAACTCTGGTTTCCACCTGTAAAACTGAGAAAAATAATTTCCCCGTGGTCACAAAATAGCCAGGAACTGAACCCGCATTTCCTGAGGCTTCTTTTTAACCATAAGGACTATCTTTCCAGTTGCTTGAGTGCTGAGTATAACCACCCTCATGCCTAATTTCAGAAGAGCACCACCGCAAGGCTGAGGAATGTGAATCGTCCAAGCGCAGAAGTCAATTTTTCTCTGTGTTTGGCGGTGCTTTTGGAGGACAGATGCTTGTACGATTCAATCGTTCATGGGACTTTGGAAATTTCTACAGGCTTTCTCTCAAGCATAGCAGAGAGGTAGAGCTGCTTCCACGTGACCATGACTGCAGCACGATCAGTCGGCATTCGTGAAGTAAGGGCCACTAAAAGAGTGTAAGGATTCGGTTTATAACTTACCGCATCAAAACTCAACCTGCAGCCAGACTCCTCGTGCTACCGTACCCAGTGGCGCACAAGGCAATGAAGCGAACGTTTCTTAGAGGTCCTCAGTCACAGCAGAGAGTCCTAATCATCTTGATGGTTTGTTACTGCCCACTGTAAGGTTTTGCCTACCCTAGATTTGCTTTTCAGCATCAATTTCTTTTCATTGGTCATTGGCATAGTAGTCCAGCTCCCCAGCCAGTAGCAAGAGTGAGGGTAGTAACGTAGGCAAGAGCTGAAATTCTGCCTACAGGATACCCAAATCCTGCTACAATTAGCAGCAATTGGCACCTCAAGCTCCTATCTGGAATCATCTGTTGGTGCCCCTACAATCGGTGTTTTAACACTGTCATTTGCACTTAATGAAGGTTAGACGATACATGATCCGTCTACGTAGAAAACTACCTGTGCCCTCAAACACTGTACTACTCCCCCCTAACTCAGAAGCAATATCCACACTGCTCTTTGGGTGGACTAACTAATACAGCTGAGTGCCAGTGCCAATAAGTCCCCCACAGCTTCATGCAGGTGGTTTAGGTGACAGGATACTTGGAGCGGTGTGGCATGTTAGATGGCACTTCTCCCGGGCATAGAAAGCTTATTGTGACAGTGCTGAAACTATGGGTAGTCACGGGAGTCCTGTGCATGCCAGCTTGCCTGCTGCTGCTATCCCAAGGAAGCTATGTTGCAGGGAAATCTTTGCCACAATTGTTGTGCGGAGGTTCAGCCCGAGTGAAAAGTAGCATATGAGGAATACAAATATTTTAACAGAGAGCTACTGAAAGTATTCCCCTACTGCTTCATCCTGGTAGAGGACAGAGCATCATCTTCAGGTTTCTCCCTGTGCTGAACCTACTTTGCACAGGTCTAAGACTCCTTACCACAGGCTGTCGAGCAAAGTATGCAGCTGCGTAGAGGATGTGATAGCCAGCTAGCTGCTGTGCAAAGTGAGAGGGCAATATGAGTCCCCTGTACGCCAGATTGGTTGTGGCTAAGCATGAGATAGAGGTGACACTTCCATAAATCTCCATTAAGGCAACACGCATTAATCTATTAGCACTGACTGTGTTGAAACCCCACAGGTCAGAATACAGTGCTGGACAGCTACAGCTAACAAGGGAGATATGTCGTTAAAGTAAGATAGAATCAAAATGCTTCATCTATAAAGATTTCTCAGTGCCAAATTCAAGTAACTCTTGCTTTTGCAAGGGAGCCTGTGGATTAACTGTGACTTAAATTTAGCGATATGGGAAGAAGGATTCATCAGGTTTTTTAGGAGTTACGGTAGCACAGGAGCTCTGGTTCTCACTTTCTTTGTTTCTTTACGTATAGGAGGGTCAGACATACCAATGCTGGAGAAGGGGGGGATCTCCAGGTAATGGTGTTTGCAAGGAGAGGAAGGAAATGTGCATATTACCAGTGGTTTTCTCCTGGTGTTCCTCAGCTGTGGGTAGAAGGATACTCATTCGTGCGTACACATGCATGCCTGACTTTTATGCAAAGTTATGGTAACTATGCACGCTGTGGAAAGCATGAATTTCCCATGTATCTTTAAAAAAAAAATGTAAGTGCAAATGAATCACACAATATGTGCACTAATTCTGAAAACTAGATTGTAACAGGTTGGAAAGCTGTCTTTATATATTTGGTCCCATTAGCAGTGAATGTTACTAATTTACTGCAAGGCACAATCTAAAAAATAAAAAGATCAAAAATCCAAAGGAAGTATCATAACTGATGTGAACCAAAAAGGTTTTTTTTTTAGATGGATGTCTTGCAAAAATGTGTGGGATTTTTTGTTTGTCTGTTTGTGGTGCTGTTGCGTTTTTACAGTTTTCCTGTTCTTAAAATGGTTTTAATATTTTTCTCAATTTTTTCTGAGACAGGGGAAACATTTTCCATTCAGTCCCTGATGATATCCTACTGTGGACTTGTATGTGGATCCAGCCATGGATGAGTGTGCAATTTTCACCTGGGTCATCTGCTCACGGTAAAATTTAAGCTTCACCCCAATGTTCACTTCATTGAAACCCACAAAATGTTTTTCCATAGTAGGATTTTACCATGTATTGATTTTTTTTTCTTCTAGTATGAATGCAAACAAAGCGTGGGAAAATCCTACTCACATACACTTGCCCTAATCAACTGACTATTGGTCAACCTAAGAGACCCTCTGTTTTTCGGTGGACACCAGAAGAGAGGTAAGGCCCTAGGAAAGAGAGCTGTTTTGCTTTGCTACTGCAGGACACCCAAGTCCTGATCTGTCGCTTCTTCAGAGTTTGATCCTGTTGATTTTTCAAGGTATGATGCAAAGCATGTGCTTTTCCACTGAGCACCTGTCAGATGCTGGGCTATGACTTTTCAATTGTTTCATGCAATAATTGAAGGTACGGCTTATATGCTGTCTGTTGGGGGCATGGTTTTGTTTCAAGAATGCATCCTGATTGGTTGCAACAGTCATAAAATAAATGACCCATCATTTTGCTTAGCTCTGCTCCCTACAAAGATAGGAACTCCAAACCAAGAGTTACCTATGAAAGAAAATGTTGAACTTTGGGGCAAAACCCTGTAATTTACTAAAATGAAGGCATCATTTTACGGCTACCTTTCAAAAAGTGAGGGGGAGAGAATCCATGTTGATTTTTTCGGAGTTATTTTAAGCTTGAAAAGCCACTCTGTCCTTTTCGGTACAGTACACTGAATGGTACTGTGTACACCAGTCGCTGCATAACAGCTCAACATCCGTGAGTCATTTGTTTAATCATTTCTGAGTTTTTATGCCAAGCACCTGCCTTTTAATTTGCTACGACCAACCTGAAACATCTGTCAATTTTTTCCCCGTGAATTAATAACTCCATAATTAAAATCCAGCAGAGAGCTCAGCTGAGACTTTTGGTTAATTAGGACAGGATATAGCCATGTGAGCAGCATGGCATTACATTAGTTGGAGGTAGTTTGTATCTGAACCAGGGGTTCAAAGGTGACATGGAGCCACCAATCCGTAATTTTACCACACAGCTACCTCGGTATTGTCATTTTGCTCCCATACTTAATATGTTGATTTTTGAGCAGTTGAATGATTTTGTGGGCTACCTATTTAATGACGAAACCCTGCTTGATAATTATATTCCTAAAACTGATATTTTAAGATGGGGTATCTTTTTATTTTCCCAAATATCATTCAAAAAAATGAGGAAATAATTAGAGCTAAACTGAGCTCTTGCCTGGAGCTCCTTTGCAAGATAGCTGTTGAAGTGTCACTGAAAGCAAAGTGACCTTCTCAGCAAAGGCCATACCTGCTGCTACTGTATAAGGATGAGGATTTTAGGCCCCTCCACGATTGCTTTTCACACTGATAATTGCACAGCGCACCACCATCATAGAGACACTTGCTGGAATTGAAAATCAGATGTTGCTTCCTTCAGGTCCTACCAGTCCTTAGAGGGTTTCTTAAATTATACGTTTGGCAAAAGGGTTATCCAAACTGACAAAGATACCTGGGCTATATCAAATTTCAGTAAAACTGCAGATCTCATTTCGAGTCGGGCATAAAAAAGCACATTGGTTAATAATACAGTGCCTTTCTTTAAGGATGTTCATGGGAGACGAGGACATCTGTATTGCAGCTCAGAAAGAGATATGAAAGGTTTTCATCATGAACTTTAATACACTTGACAACCAGATTAAGCTCAACATGTAGCACAGAGTAACAAAGCCATATGGATTCCCACTGCCTTGCTGTGCGGCACAGTGGAATCCCTGTAACGCTCTCCAGGTGGGATTAGTAAAAGCCAGTATAATTTGGAATATGTGCCCATTAAATTTGGACAGTTGTGTTTTATTTTACCACTGGCCAAATCCACAAAGGGTCTTCTAAGAATCAAACTTTTTTTAATAGCTTTTCATTTGAATAGATGTTTTGCCAATTCATACATTCCCATTGACGGCATAAAAATGAATCAGTGATTTGTCATTTTCCTCCACAGAGTAGCTGATGGAAAAATACCTAGATGTTTCAGGCAGCTTCCAGATTTTTGAAGGCAGTTGCATGACAGAAGATTGCAAGAAAGGGTTTGAGCTGTCATCCCTAGAGATCAGGATTCAGAAAGAGCCCTGTCCACCAGGTTCATCTTTTTGAATGTCTGGTGATAGGTGTTGCAGGAGCTCCTGGATGCTAAGACCCAGCTGCAGGTGACCTTTGAAAATGTAGCCTTTGAACTGTGCCTCTGTTTGTATATCTGTGACATGGGAATAATGGTATTTTCATACTTCATGGTGGTGTTAGGAAGCTGTATTGATTTAATATCTTACGTTGCTAATGACTACTGCAATGCCCAAAACTAGAGGAGAGACATTACATAGTTGTATTGCCTGTACATGTTCTTAGAAACCCATGTATAATGAGTGCAGGTTGACATCTTGCCTATGAATGGTATGAGAGCACAACTTAAAAACTTGAATATTTGCGGCCCATCTAAAATTCCTGAAAGATAATGGACTGCTTTTATTAAAATTAAACTTGCGTGTAGCTTCCCTAATCAGATTTTTTTAAAGGATTTTCCACTTGGGATCGGTACAGCTGATCCCAGATTACGCCGGATCAAGTTTCATTTTGCTGAGTGAGATCTGAATGAAAATGTCGATGTGATTTTTCTTTAATTTGTTCTTTGTGGGGTTTTTGACCGGGTAGCAGGAGAAGCAGTAAATCAATGAAGCACCTTATTGGGACCTCTGAGAATTAGAATCACCTTCACGTCGGAGGGGAAAGACTTGAGCAAAAGTTTGTGAAAAAGTTCTCAGATTTCAGTGGCGTCATTATTACCACCCGTGAGAAAAGCCTTTAGATGTCATAAGCAAGCATACTACTGGTGGAGTCTTAAAAGCGCTAATGTGATTATTTGTGGGGGAAAGTCTATTTTTTTCTTAAAGCTTAAAGAATTTACACTTCCTCCACCTTGTGTAAGACAGAGCAAACACATTCTTTCTTTATAAATCAACAGTGGCTTACATTGGGTTGATTTTAAAAAAACCCCCAACAAAATGGATGTTTTGATGGCTAGAATGGTCTGACGTAGGTAGCTAGTCGCAGCTGTGATGAGGTGCAGAGGCAGCTGTGCCCCAAAGAGGGCACCGCACCTGATTCTTTTACTGGCCTGCAATGTGCCTTGGGCAATTCACTTTACTCTGTGGCAGAGGTGGGCAAAATGCAGATGCAGCCCACCAGGCCATTCTTTCCAGCCCGCAGGGCCCCTAAAAAATTTAGAAAATTAATATGTATCTGCCCCTGGCTGCCTGTCATACAGCCCTCGATGGCTTGTCAAAACTCAATAAAAGCCCCTCCACCTGAAATAATTGCCCACCCCTGCTCTGTGGCCTCTGCTTATCTGTGGACTGGATTGTAAAACCTCTCTAGGTCATAGACTCTTCCATACTAATGTGTTGACAGGCCCAGTGTGCTCCTGCAGCACAAATATGATGCAGGGTGCTAATTAAGACTTCCTATTCCACCTCCCATCCTCCCCCTCCAGTTATCCATGCTTTTCATTTCAGATTGTTATGCACTGAATAATATGGAGTTTTACCCTTTTTTTTCAATTGGCTAGGCAGCATTTAACATCAAAGACCTGCTTCTGGACCACAGTGTTTAAACGATAAACTCCAATATGGCTGATATGCTCTTGCATTAAAACATCTCCTTTTCAGTAAATTGTGATACAGCAGACATAGGGAACAGTGAAGGTGACTGAGTTCAGTTAGTTAAACAAGACTGCCCTCTGCCGGTCTTAAACACCGGCATCTCAGCTGGAAGAAGCATTATTTCCCCCCCCTCCTACACAGCAAATTAAATGTGCTGTTACTATATTTTAAAAAAATAATAATTAATAGACAGGCTCTCTGGGCTGGCTCTATAGTCTCATTGAGACTGGGTCCCAAATCAGACAAACGTTGAGCTAATTTGTCCAAATGTCTCCTGATTAGGCTTGCTGTTATCTGAATGCTATGAGCTAATGGAGATTATGCAGAAGGGATCTGATCCGGCCCTTTAGCTGTTTGTTTGAGTTCAGCGGCAGCACAGACCATCACCAGCGTCTGTCTAATGAGCTACAGCGTGAATCCTGCTGGTTGTTTCTTTGCTGTCCGGGATAACGACTAAGAAACAGCCTGAAACAGATTTTCTGTGAAGACAGCAAGAGTAAATACAGCTCTGGGCAGGTGGGGGAATACTTATTTCATCAGCAAATCTGAGTATAAAGAATGATCCCTCACAAGATATCAGGCCCAAGCCTTTAAAGCTATACTAAAAACCATTGCTGCAATTTATTATTTGCACGTAACAAAATCACCATCTCTCAAGCCTGGCAGGCAGGAGTCGGTGCTGTGCAAGACTATTAATATGACTAATAGTTGTTCAAGCAAACTAATCAGCCAGTTGTGTGTACATATGAGCGTTTGAATCCCAGGTTGAAGATTAAACACGGTAAAATCCCTCCTTATAAATTTATTTTGAAATGTGTTATTTTACTTTGAACCTCTACCCCAGCTCCATGTTGGAAAATGTTGGCAGTAGGGCCGTATTGGTTAGTGACTTATTTTTTGTGCTGACATAAAGCATACCAGCAAAAGCCCTGTTTTTAGTGGCAAAACTGCATTAAGAGTGTTACTAATAGAGTGACATCGGAGCAGCACTGAGCGTAGACCAGGTGTCTCCTCTCACAAAAGGATCTCGGAGCATTTTGCAAGTGATGAATTTATTAGGTAGATTATCATACCTTACACAGAGGGAGATGGTGGGGGTTGTAATATCCATTTTACTGAAGGCAAATTTGTCACCTAGAGGATAAGGGTAACTGGTCACAAGTGGCTCAGACGCTTACGATAGGATTTTCAGGAGTGTCTATACGTCTAATTTCTAATTGAAATAAGCCATAGATTGGCAGCTGGGCATTTCTGGAATCCTGCATTCAGGGGTGCCAGATCCAATAAAGGAGTTAGGCAGAACGGAGGCATTCAAGCCAAAACGTGGGTTCCTGAAAACCTCTGTTCAGCTGCTGTCTACCCCTGAAGATATCCAGGCTCCACCAGCACCTTTCTTTAACCTTTAGAGCTCTACAGATAGCTCAAGTGCTGCTTTAGTGCATGCCCACAGGTGCCTTGGTCTTGGCAGGGCTGAGCACTTCTTTGTTAACTCATTCCTAACCAT